CCCCAAAACCCCAAAACCCCAAAACCCCAAAACCCCAAAACCCCAAAACCCCAAAACCCCGAAATAGTATTTGAATATTGAAAAAATACTATTAAAAATATAGAAGCTCTTGCAGATCTATTTGGGGATAGAGTTGTCACTGATTTCCCTCCACCTCCCTTCCTCCCTCTTAACGAAGGGATCCTATATCCATCAGCAGGTAAAAACTTTCAGAGAAAATAGTCCTGATTTGCTCTTATTTCGTAATTTCCAAAGAGACATATTAAGTGTGACCACTCCGAACCAGGGAGGAAATAAATAACCTAACTAATACCTTTCTTAGGGTTTAAAATTCCTGATTGGAAAGCAGTCGAGGATCACTTAGTAGCAGAAGGAAAAATCTCGAAAGAGCATTTTGTTAAGCTGATTCATGATGCGACGGATATATTCAGTAAGCTATTCAAAATAATTTACAAAGAGGAGGAACAAAACCTGATTCAATTTCCAGAACCACTGATCATGGTTAGCGACATTCACTGCTAATTTTATGATCTTGTCCATTTGCTTGAAAAAGCAGGAGACCTAAGTACAATAAAGTACGTATTAGGTATAATTTTAGCTATGTTTTTATGGGAGATTATGTTGATAGAGGAATTTTTAGAATTGAGGTTTTGATACTCATGATTTTTATTAAGGTAATACTCAGAACTAACCACTTAGCTCAACTACCCAGAGACATTTGCTATGCTTAGAGGAAAATCATTAATGTAGGAACATGACAGATCATTTCACTTTCAGAGAGGAAACAATTGAAAAATATTACGAAGAGGTCTACGACCTCCTCATGGAAATGTTCGATAGTCTACCAATCTGTGGATTGGCTGATAAGAAATATTTCATCACTCATGGATGAATCTCCCCAGAGCTGAAGAGAATTTCCAAAATAGACAGATTCCTAGAAATCCCTATGGACGGGATAATGTGAGATCTCATGTGGGTAGATCAAATAAATGAATCAGATGTAAAGAAATACGACTTTGTGAAGAATAGAGAAAGAGGTTGTTCCTTCTATTTTGGAAGAAAGCTAACTTAAAATTGATCTATGATAATAATCTTATGACTATAGTAAGAGCCCACCAAGTTCAAGTTGATGGATATAAAATGCATCGATGGGATGGGCCAAGCAGTTTTCCATACATTATTGCTATCTTCTCGGCTCCAAATAATTGAGATTATTACAGCAACAAAGGATCAGTGCTGACATTAGAGGAAGGAAATGTATCTATAAAGTAATTTAACGATAGTAATCACCCCTACCATCTCCCTGATAGAATTGATGTTTTCACTTGGTCAATGCCATTTCTAATTGAAAATATAGTGTGAATGATGAAGTCAGTTTACACCAAGTGGCAAGAGGATGAATCTCTAGATGAAGAAGGATTCAAAACAGCAACTGACAGTAAGGTATATTTTTGTTAATGAGATAATCCTGGAATAGCTAAAGAAAGAGCAAATAAAATTAGAGGAAAGGTTAAAGCATTTGCTAGGGTCCAAAAATAAACAAAAATCTTTCGTAAATTCTAAAACTAATTTTTAGACAAAAGTCTTAATTGATTTTTAAACTGAAAGGAATGGTTCCTGATGGAAAAATCCCAAGAGGTTTATTATTTGAACAAAGACCTACAATCAAAGATTCCATTATGGAATTCAAGAGAGCCAAAGAATTGGACAAGAAGAATGAAATGAGACCAAAGAAGAAGTAAAAAATGCAGATATTGCTTTCTTGTAACTAAGATTTATTCAACTATTGTTTTCCTTGGAGGGGTTTTGGGGTTTTGGGGTTTTGGGGTTTTGGGG